ATTTTAAAAACATTTTTCTAGAAACTAATTGAATCGCCGCTTAAAAAAATCTAGCACCGACTCGACATGAAACACTATTTTCAAAAAGAAAATTAATTAGAAGAAACCTTTTTAATTAAACTTTGTCGACTGAACTACTCAGTGGTTTAAGCACTTGACTTGAAATCTACAGGTCTTGGGTTCGAATCCCGCCATGTACCAATGTTGTTTTCGATTTTTCGAATTTTCATATGTACATAATTTACCCGACGTTCTTACGGTGAAGGAAAATATCGTGATGCAACCTGCACATATCGGCGAAGAAATTCAAAGATATGTGTGTAGTCAACCAACCCGCATTGGGCCAGCGTGGTTGACTAAGGCCTAGTCACCCTTACTTTAAGGTAGGCTCCGAGTCCCTCAGTGGGGACGTATAGTGAGCTGGTGATGATGATGATGATGACTGAACTCGATGAAATTTGGCATAGATGTAAAGCATGTAAGAACACATAGGCTACTTACTTTTGTTTTATTTCCACGCGGACAGAATCACGGGCGAAAGCTTGTTAGAACAAAATGAAATGAAATCATTTTTATTACGATAAAAGTTGAAATAAACGATTCTGCTGATATACATGCAAAACAATGTACGTACAATTAAATGGATGTTAGTGGGCACGCGGAGGGACCGTTGTCCTCAGTTTCCTGGAAGACTCGTGTCAAAACTATGGACACGTGCTCTGCCTCGCAATCGTCACATAACGTTTATGACGTGATCAGTATCGCGATAATTTTGGCACTATACTGGTCTAGGTTACCGTTGAAGGAATAAAAATGTTATTCCAATGCGTTCTATGAAATTATTTAATCCAAAAGTTACAATCGTGTAATCTTAAAATTATAAATGCGAAAGTTTAGATGGATGGATTTTTGTTAGAGTTTGTAGCCTAAACAGATCAATAGATATTGATTAAATTTGGTACAGATGTAGATGAAAATCTGGAAGAACACATAGGCTACTTTTTTAATTCCACGCGGACGGTGTCGCGGGCAAAAGCTAGTTTTTAATATTAAGTTAATTATGTCTATACCCACGCAAGTATCATATCTTTCTTTATTCCTGCTCTTATATTATTTCTATTTCTAACATAGCTTGTGATATTTTATTTAAATTGAACGAAATTTAATTATCTAAGTAAACATAACGAGAACCCACTAATTAAATCCCATCACACGCTTAACAAACAAACAATAGTAATAAATATTATAAAAACCCCGTTACTCAATACATACGGTAACTATTATCTCGTATAACGATGTATTTAGGTACAGTCAGCTCAATAAATATGGCCCGAGACACGTACACCCGGACTAATAAATTTACTGTAAAATTGAGATGTACGAACGAGATCTAATCTGGCCGCGGAGATTTATGGTCCAAATAGATTTATTTTTTTGAATAAAAAAAGTATAGAATGTCGCCTCTATTAGATGTATAGGCTCGGACGTCTCTATTTACGTTTATCTTTGTACCAGTCTATAACCGCCTTGTTATATCCAATCGAAGGCAATTAGGTACTGATACAAGATTTTTAAATGTAACAAATTTCTTATATGCATTTATTTTTATAAAGAATATTATTGTATTTATAATTCGTGTTAGCAATTCAAATTTCTATGTTATGGTCTATAAATCTTTAGCACGTTTTCTGGGAAATCATTATCAAGCAAGAGAAATAAAATCAATCCATATTAACCTACTTCGATATTATCAAGACTGACCTTTACTCTACAAAAGTCAGCGCATTAATTTAATTATAATTTCATCAAATATACAATCATTAGTAAATTAATTCATAGTGTTGTAATGTATGGTCAAATTCAATAAAATAAAAAAAATATTTACGCACTAAATGTTGCCCGCGACTTTGTCCACGCAATTTTAAAATAAAAAGTAGCCTATAATATGCCCGTCTATGTCAGCTATCCTTCAGTGCGTCGTCGGTCCAGCCTTTTCGGAGATTACCAGAAACAAACACGGATTGGAGACAAACGGACAGACAGACAAAAATTTTTCAATACAATTTTTGTTATCAGCAAATCTGGAATTTGCGAACACTACTCGATTTTTAGTTGTGCAGCTAAACAGTTGAATGAGCTGCGAAACAATCGACAATCGCACAACCGTTGTGCGAGAGTTTAGTCAAAAGTGTGCGCCCGTTATAATATTTCTACATCACCATTATCTTACTAGTTATACTAGTATTATTGTTTAGATAGATAGATGTTAGAGTTTTCCAATTAAGCGACTAACGTATTATGATCAAATTTGGAATAGATGTAGAGCATAGTTTGGAAGAACACATAGACTACATACTGTTATTTTTTTATTCCACACGGAAGGAATCACGTGCGAAAGCTAGTATTTAAAAAAAGTAGATAGTGTGATAATAAAAAAATTGTAAAGAACCTTCTTTAGAGGCTGCAGTGAATCAGGGGATGATCGCCTAACGGTTAGTTAACTACCTAGATAACGGGCGTGACGTCACACTCGCCGCGTCGGCCCCAAACCGGCCGGCGAGCCTTAAAAAACATCAATTCCCGTTGAAACAGTATAGTATAACTCCGTCATAAAACAATTTAAATCAACTTTTTTTCTAACTTTTACCTTAACAAATGGGTTTGCGCAAATTTCTTTTCTGCGAAAATATTTTTTTGCATGTCGGTGCGTTTGCAAACTTTTTTAGATTTCTATTGAGGATACGCAAATGCTTTTTATTTGTTACAATTGTGAAATGTAACGGTTCAATAATTGGTTATACTTTTAATTGTTTAATAGACGTTTAGTAAGAACTTTAAAATACAAATATGCAAAATTTTAGCCAGTATGAGTATAAGAAATATCACAACTCATAGAACATTAAAGTGGATTATTCTTAACCGTCACCACGCTCTGTCCCCACCTGGAGACAGACAAGAATAAATAGTTTCATCCGTCCCACCTTTTACGACGAGGGGACGGTTGGAACTTATTTTATTTCATAACGGTTCCATCTGTCACCTTATTGGTGATAATGGGACTGAAAGGTGGGACGGATAAAACTTTTAATTCTCACGTGGGGACAGAGCGAGGTGACGGTTGGGAATAATCCATTAAAGTAAACTACATGGGACAAAATGTTTCTTTAACAAGATGTTATTATTCTGTTTTAATAACAAAAGCTCTATATATAATTCTAAAAATTTACATAGCGTAACTCCCTTATTTTAATTAATTATTTGAAATATGTTATCCGTTACCAAAATTACTATGTGATTTTCCATTCAATTTTACCTTACTAGTTACGTGTCGATCAAAACAAAACACGACTTTACAAATATTTTTTTAGCTTCCTTGCAAATTGTAACTGTAGAAAATAAACAGACAATAAATATTTTACAATGCTGCAAACTGGGCTGTTACTGTTAACAGTTAAAAGTTACGTAATAATTGCCGCTGTTAAAATTGCAAGTTATAAAACTATCCCTAAGAAGGGTAAGAAAGAGTCTTTTAAAATTACATCTTAATTGTTTTGTTACACTGTTTATTTGCTGCTGAATTAGACTTCTTAATAGAAATGTGAAACGTAAAGAAAATGATTTGTTTAAATTTGTTATTATTATTTTAGAAAGTAAGTAAAACTAGCTTTAGCCCGCGATTCCATCCGCGTGTAAAAAGAAAAGCCGATTATGTGTTCTTCAAGACTATCCTCCGCATATATGTCAAATTTCATCGAGATCTATTCAGCGGTTTAAGCTGCAAACGGTTTAAGCTGCAAACTCTAACAAACATCCATCCATATAAACTTACGCATATTGTAGACGTAATTAGTTATTCTTTGTAGAAACAAATGAGTTTATACAATTAAAACGATGTTTTTCGCTAATTATCTATTCCACTTATTATCGAAGTGTCTATTCCATCATTTCATTCACAGTTTAAAAATAACACAACCGTTTGTAGAAAACGATATAAAAAGCATCAACGAAATTGTAACTCGTTTTATTCGAACTAATTAAATCGTGGGATAATTTTTTCGTATTATGTATTCAATAAAAATAGATTTATTAATGAAAATATTTTGTTACTCAAGGTTTCACGATACTTGGGAATAAATGTAGTGTTTGCATGTCTCATCTCTTCGGGTTTTTTCAGTTTTAAGATCAGCGATTTCGTAAAATCCCATAGATAGTATCTCATAGTTATAAAATTATGTTGAATTCAAATATTCTCTTGTTAATATGTTAATTTAAAGCATCGCTTGTAATGTTAACTAGATTGAATTTCCGTTTCCGCTATTCAAGTTTTAAACTTAAAGAATTGTAAGGTTGTTAAAACATTAACTTATGTATACACATTTTTTTAATAGTTAGAAAAATGTATACTCTTTGTACAAACACTACGTCAATACATATTTGTAGTTAAGAAATTGCAATTTTTATTTCCAATTTATTCATATATAAATTAATTTGTACATTTAGTATGAAATTAAACAAAAATAATTAATAAAAAAATCTAATAATGATATTTTTTCACTTTTCTTAATATTCATGATCAACTCAAACCAATAAAGTTTATTTAATTGGTTTTGTATTTAATTGTAAAGGAATTCTAAATATCTAACAAAAATATTGAAGCAAAAAAATTGTTTGACTTAAAATTGTACAAGACCAATAACTTGTAACAAAATCCTTTGCTATCACAACGTACACAATCACGTCGCAATCTGTAACGTCTGTAACGTACAGTCTTATTAATCGACAGCGGAGCTGCGCGCGCGCAGTGGCAAAGTTCACGCTGTCCCACCACCGACCATACCTATACCATAGTGCACGGCGTTAGAGAGCGAGACAGCTAGATGAACTTCACTTATAGAGCGACCGAGACAATGGTATAGACACAAGTTGCGTTAGAATTTGACCACGCCTCCCTACCGGCCGCAATCGAACATCCTCCTGAACAAGCATTCGTGCGCGCGCGCCGCCGTAGCAACACGTCGCTTGCGTTCGATCCTCACGAAAATGGAATCGATCGCACGACCCAAAGTAAACCAAATGGGACTCGCAAACTAGTCCGGGGCATTCCGCAACCGAAAGTCCGCTAAACTATGTGTCAACAGAACAAATAGAGACAATAAACGTAACAGAGTGCGCGGTTTCAGTTTGAGTTTTCAGTTAGAACCTCCCTGTAAATGAAGCGTACTGACACATCTGTTTGTTCGCATGAAAGTGATTGTATTGTGACATTTTGAAATCGATAGTACTGTTAATTGAGGCGCGGAGTGTGCCCGCCGTTAGCACTGTGCATGTCGAATATTGACTTTGTAAAATTGCCGAAAATACTCAGTGTTGTGTTTGTGGGATTTTAAACGGAAGCTGTTATTTTTTTTCGTTTTCGACGAAATTATACAAAGGAGTAAAGGTATGTTGTTTGACATTTAGCATGTTTATATCGCACCCTAAATTTGGTTCTTATTTGCTCGAGACTGACGCAAATCGAACGTCCGAAAACCGCACGATATCAAAACCTGTAAAATCTTTCAACAAAAGAAAAACTCGTACCATATTTAATTTGCGACGGTAAAATATTTGACGTATACATGTTAATGAATAAGGAGAAAATGTAAACATATCTTACATTTTTGTTTACAATAATATTTCTTAATTATTTTTTATTAATCACTAACTTCGGAAACATTATTCTACCAACAAATCTAATGAAAACTGAAAGAAAACGTATTAAACTTTCTCCTTACAAAAGATTTCAACGAGCGATCGGCGTTTTCTGCGAACGACGCGATTATAAAATAAACATTTCACAGCATTAAGTTTTTATCAATTTAAATCATTCCAGAATTTAAAACTCTTAAAACCTAAGTTGTAAGAAAAATAATATAACAAATAACGGCACACACCGTTCAATAATCCTTATTACGTATTAAGTAATACTAAGCTTTTAAACCGAAAAAGTTGTTTTAAAATAAGCTTATTTCACGAAATCTTAGAGTACTGAGATACTTGTTAGTTTTAGAGAGCTTTATGTTTAATTTAATAAGCTTACTGTAATCCTTTTTTGTAATTACAAGTAAATATTTCTATCAAATAGCAAACAGATCATGTTTTAATATTACTGTAGATTTAAGTACTAAATGTTAACGATTTTTAGAATTATCATAATACGATTAATTAATACAAGACGAATATAAGTAAGTAAGTAGATTTAAATGTGTACAGAAATTATTGTGATTAGAAATTATTAGTTATATGTATGCGTCTCATACGCACTGAAAGATTTGTTTGCAAAATATAAATATTGTTCGACTTGTTCAAAACCCTAAAAATATCATTTGGTTGGTTTCCGCGAAAGATACTCAGCGCAAAAAGACACTACATACGCCTTTCACATGAAATATGTTCTTTACTCACAATAATAGAATTACTCTACGATATAAAATATTCTGTTTCTTACACGTAAATATATAGATATAAAGTATCCCGAATTTTTTGAGGTTACAATCTTAAGAATTAAAAAATTCCGACGGCTAAAAAAAGCTATGTTACATTACGTGTCTGAATAATACGTTCAAAGTTAACCTAGAGACATAACAGGTTTAAATATTATATGTAAATGAAGCCCTATAAATATATTTACGTAAAACAAAGAAATAGAAAAAAAAACAACTTGAAAATCAATGAATGACAAATGCGGTATCGTGTCGCACTGACCCCATTTAAAAATCGAAATTCAATTGAACAATTGTCCATTATGTTCGTAATAGTTGACGTTGATATTAAAAACAACGATAAAAACGAGATATTATAGTAGAAACAATAACGCGTGGGAATCGTTCTCACATATTTATCTTTGAAAAGGACAAAAAGTGCGCACATACTCGTATAGGCTCTCCGCAAAGAACAATAGCAATAATCAATGACGAAAAGCATTAATTTAGTCATATCTGAAGTTGATTGTACGCATTTAAGTGATCACTTGTCGCTAATGAGGTTGTGTTTCCTGGACATCAAACGTCAAATAAGGTAATAGATTAATATTACCAGAGTTTTAAATATAACAGCTTTCGCTTGCGACTCAATCCGCGTGGAATAAAAAAAACAAAAGCAAGAGGCTATATGCTCTTCCAGACTATCCTCTACATCTATGCCAAATTTCATCGAGATTATCCCAGTAGTTTATGCTACAAACTCTAAAAAACATCCATCTATGTAAACGTTCGCATTTATAATAGTAAGTTTTCCTTCCACTTTGTCCACGTAGACTGAATTAAGAATATTTTTAAATAGATTTAGCGTGTATAAGTTAATTCGTTACGTATAAACACATGTTTCCACTTTATATTAGTGGACATTTGAGAAAGAGAGTTCATAAAAGCTTAACAAAAAAAAACGAGTATTGTATGACAGGTCAGTAAAAAAATTTCGTCCTGTGTAGTTAATTTATTTAATCTGTGTACATCTCGTGGTGAAGATTTCGTGCGGAAAATCATGTAACATAAATATGCAAAACTGTAATTCAAAATCCACTCTAAACTAGTATACTATGATTTTTTTAAATTATAGTAGTTCTACAGTTAGAATAGGCACAGCTGTGATTAAACTATCGCACAACTGTTGTACGATTGTCGATTGTTTCGCAGCCAATGCGACTGATACGTTACACAACTAAAAATCGACTAATTTGCGCAGCTCATAGGAATCAAAGCGGGACAAAACAATTGTGCGACACTTGAGTCAAAGGTGTACGCGCTTAACGTAGATGTTTTTGACGATGTCAAAATTCTGCTTTTCAGCCACTAATTGCGTACAAATTATCGTCTTGCGACAGCTCGTCTTTGCGCGGTTTCACTTTAAACTGCCGAAATTCAATCGTTACGTTGTTTTAGTCAATAGTAAAAAGATCAAAAAAATTACATACGCGGGTTACTTACGGCCGAATACTGAAACTATATTTAAATATGTAACAGCGTCTTAAATGACGATTAGATTCCAAATTTAAATAATAAGCGTTATCAACGAATGACAGTGAAAGATTCTGTTCAGTATACTGCCGTTAGTTTACAAGATTATTTAATCCTTAGTTATGTACAGGCAATAATATAGATAAACAATGTTACCACAAACTGACAAATATTTTACGTACTCATATGGAAAATTAAATTCAACGCTTCGGTATAAAATCCATCTTATATATTATCGAGAATAAACATTTAAAATATATAAAGGTGTAACTTTATCAGTACTCGTTAAGAGAATGTTTGCGGAATGTTGATTGACCAACCTGGACTAGTAAATGCAACTTAAAGCTCTTAAATCAATACACACTTAAGTGACGTTAAGTAAATTATCCCGTCACAAGTTTCGCATCTGTTAACTTAAATGAAACCTGGATAGTTGAGCCGACTGGATTCAAAGACATTTTTCCGTCGCCACTTAATAAAAGACCAACGACATTAATCTGCATTTAAAAGAAGTATTAAATTAGATATCATGATTATTTTTTAAAATATTTTAACCAACATTTGTATAAAAAAATTTAAATTTTATTAAAAATTTCCTTTACTAAATGTACGTATTTTAATGTACAGTATATAGTAATCTAGTACGTAAAGTAATGCTAGCATAACCTAGGCTAACCCCGCGACCGCCGCACTAGTTCTCACGCGTACACTGTCTAATGGTGGCCGCTATCATCATTTGTAAGGCTGTGAACACAATAACTACAGGCTAAAGAAAATATATGAAACCGATCTAGTTTTTACTCAGAAACTAAAAAAGTATTATATATTTTCATCTGAATCTATATCTATATCCATACTAATGTTATAAAGAGGAAAGATTTGTAGTTTTTTGTGTGTATTGAAATAACTCAAAAACTACTAGACCTATTTCAAAAATTCTTTCCTCAATAAAAAGCTATGTTATCATTGAGAAACTAAGGCTATTTTTTTTAATTCCACGCGGGCGAAGTCGCGAGCAAATCTAGTAAAATATAAACAAATAGCTTATAATACACTACTGTGACGACGATGATTTTTTTACTCTACTTTTAAACCAATTAGAACGTAGCGTTTTAAAGATATTTCTTAGATAATAATAAAAACTTCTTACTATATAAAACCTAGTTGGAACTGCCTTCGCAAACTTTATTACAACGTATGGCGAAACATCAGCGAAAACCAAATTCCAAGTGAAAACATCGAATTCGTCCCATTGGATTATAAACATCCGCTGTACTTCCTTGTACGAAAGTGTTTAACATGAAAACTGTTACAAGTCCATTCGTGGTCGTGAGCGCGGTGCAATCCCGTAGACAGGGCGACACTCTTGTTTACGACGCGACTGTACTTTACGTTTTATTGGTACTCCTATGTTCCCACAATGTTTGTCAAAATTCCAATAGAATGTTTTCGATTATTTGCACGATTTAACAAAATAAAAAAGATTAAATTAAATTTACGGTTGACAGGAATATAGTTATCTCTTTTTATCACATTAGGGTAAGAGAAAGACAACTAACCGCATATCGGAGCTCTTTAAATGTTTCTTTAAAAGTATACTGATTAATACACAATTGAATGCTTGTTTTTGTAACAGTTTTGAAACATTTTGCTATCTATTTTATGAGCTTAGGTAGGATGTAATTTTAATATACAATAACACTAAAGCATGTATAGAAATTATTGAAAAATATTCGCGCTTAAATGCTTTCATCCTTTATCTATGAAACAGGATTTTAAAAAAATATTTTAAGTACTTAACTAATTATCTTATTAAGCACTTTTTAATACATTTAAAGTCTGTTAAAACTACACTACGATTTTAAACCGAAACATAAGGAGTTTTGTCTCACACCTAATTAGATATTATAATTATTTCTTTATATCTATTAGTGATACGCCGCTTGTTTCTTCAACCTGTTCACCCCAAGTAGCGAGAGACTCACGCATCATTAATTACAATAGCCCCAGTCAGGTGAAAACGATTAATTTTAATTAAGATCAGACGAAATGCCTTAGTGTGTGGTACAAAATAAACGCGCAATTCATGTACATATTGTGTTAAACTGAAAAATATTGTTCTTCAATTATTAATCTTAAAGTAAAATTTATTAAAAATTACTGTTTGTATAAATTTGTCTATTTTTGCGGATGGTCTAGGGTCTAGGGTGTTGTTTTTGGCTTCAATTCAACTATTAAAGATAAAAAGAACTCACTGTGAACTTTCTGTTTCAGTCATACTTTAAAGTATGCCACAAATAAATTGCAAATGTTAAAAACGCATTTATAAAGTAAGTAGTAATTTTAGCTGTAAATGAAAGTGGTCATATTTATCGCATATCGTCAATGACTTGTACCAATCGCGGTATCATCACGCTGATTTCTATGAGTGTGTTCGCATGACCTC